TGTATCATTTTTCAACTCTGGGTTGACGTGCGATCCCTTGTGGTTTCTCTGGCTGCCGTCAGTTGCTGTTGTACCTGGGAGGATGTTGTGTCTATATATCATGACTGCAGCTATCAGAATGTAAATGTTTGTTAGGATGAAAGCCGTGTTTGGTGAAGTCACTGTTACAGTCGACTGAAAGTGTTTCCCCGTCGTGAGAGAAGTGTGGTTGTATTTCAAATATCATTTTATTCCTGTCTTTAAGACATTCAACTTTCTCCAAGAGAGAATAAAAGTCAAGGTTACTGTGTGACGGGTCGTCCATTAAGATAAAGTTCTTTCACAGACGTTGCGATCTAGTTCAGCCACGGAATTCTTCAACTCCGAAAAAGTCTGTGTTAAATGTGTAAATTACAACATATAAATATCAAAGAATGTAAATGTTTACTCAGATTAATCACAGAAAGGCTGTGGATTAATCAAGAATAATCTGGATTAATTGTGACCAATCTACAGCTCATCTTTGAATATAAAATAAAATTCTAAACTTTTTTCTATATGTTGCTGGAACATTAAGGTAGATTATTTATGAGTTTTTTTTTTATTTAAATGATGGAATTCTGCCTAACACATCAGCCTTACTTAATAGCGCCTCCCGTGGCAGCCTGTGAAATTCCCCCTTGTGGGACGAATGAAGGACTTTTTTTTTTATTTATTTATTGATATATAAAAGTCCAGAGAAATTAGTAAAAGTACAACGAAATATTAGCTTCATAGAGTTGACAGTGACTTGTAGAAGCAGAAACTTCAATCTGATTCTTCTTCGCAAATAAATGAATTTAGCGCTAATGGAAACATATCATTGGCACAAACACACGGGTGATTTATGAAGATTTTATGCGACAAGTTTGTCTTCAGCTCTTCTAAACGTCTAAGATCACCAGCGAAGTCAAAAAGCCAGAACCATGTATGTTTTATTCCCTCTGAGTTTTTTGTGAAACTCCATGTTTCACGGTAATGAAGCTGGACGGGGTTAAGAGTCTAACTGATTTCTAATTTTCAGAGCAGCACTCGGGGGGTCACCTGCAAAATGAAAAGTGAAGTGTTTTTATGAATGTGAAAATGAGGAGCTGGAAGTGACTGCGGGGACATAATAAGAAAGTTCCATCCAGCCGAGGCAGCGAGAGCAGAGAGTAACGTGAGGATTCAGCTTTGATTAAGACCAGGTCTGAACGACCAGGACGGAGCGACCAGATGTTTAACAAAAAAAGGACAAGATTAAAAGTGCGAAATGTCTGTTGGGTTAAAGCAGAGATTGGACGAAGTTCAGGGAACCAATGAGGCAGAGCCGCCGTCAGCTTTGATGGTCTGAAGATGTGATCGCTGACATCACAGGTTATTAGCAGCCTGTCAGCTGGGCAGCCGTACCAGACAGCAGGTCAGAGAAACGGTGCATCAAGTCAGACTTTACATGAGGGGCGGGGGCCGCTGCAGAGCACGGAAGGATGTTTTTATAGAACTGAGGTTCAAACCAGGACAGAAAACAGCAAACAGCAGAGCCTCGCATTTAAGGATGTTAGTAAAAACAAAAGCTAAGCTAAAGCAGCGAGCACAGGTGAGGAGCAGAGATGACCGAGTGAAATGATATCACAGGCCTGAGGTGCAGCCAGGTGTACTGTAGATACAGTCTAACAGATCACTGTTATATTCATATATTCCTATATATGTTATACAGTCTAACAGATCACTGTTATATTATATATAATACACGGTCGTCCCTCATGTATGTATATATAATACACGGTCGTCCCTCGTGTATGTATATATAATACACGGTCGTCCTTCGCTGTATCGCAGTTCAGTCATCACGCCCTCAGTGCATCGCAGGTTTTTTATATTTTAGATGTATTCTTGTATTGTGGATTTCTCACTCTATCACGGTATTTAAAAATTTCCAATATTTTCGTGAAAAAATAAGCATTTTCTAGGCTAAGAAGGCTATGTTTCTTAGCTTACGTTTGGTTAATTTTCTTTGCCATATTTCACGCCCTACGATGCCTCCTAAAGGGTTCGTAAAGGGTTAATATATACGTTAATAATATAATAACGATCGCATCTCTCACTACCTGCGGATTTTCGTCTATCGCAAGTGCTCTTGGAACTTCGCAACAGACTTTGTTCTAAGTCTTTTCAAGCACATTTACCTTAACCTACCAGAGTTACCTTTCGTTCACAGAACTGTAAACAACTTCAAAACCAAAGTACTATTGAACTGAATGGATTCATTACATTTAAAGGCAAAGAATCATACAATAAAAAAAGCACAAAAATTAAAAAAAATGATTTTGTATTTTGTCATTGTCAAGATCACAGTACATGCTTCCAGTTTTCCTGCTTCTATTCTATATTCCACTGTGTAGTGAAGACAGGTGTATTTTTCCGTTCTGCTTCGACGTTATTGTTCACACTTCCCACGTATTCAACCTTAAATGAAGGGAATCGTATCGAGAGCCTCTCGAGTATTCAAGTGAAAAAATAAGCGGCGGAAATGCTAACACTTTGACCCCGCATCTGAACAGAGGGAGTCTGGGTCTGAGGTAAGATTGGAAAACGCTTAGCTAATTTCATCCAGTGCTTGACCTCCGCCTCGGTGGGAATTTATTGGCCCCAAATTCAGGTGAGGAGGCAATTATTTCTGTTGATGTCAGGGCTTTGTTGCTCCACGGAGTTGTGTTGGGAATTTAGGCCTCATATATTTATTGATGTTTTTATTCTTCCATACAGGACACGGTATCAGTGCTGACAAGCTGTCAAGTGTTCCCTGTCGTTTACCTCTGATGGCCACAGTCTGCTGCTCTTTTTTTCTTTACCACAGTTAAGGTAAAAAAAAAATTACAATTAAGGCTACTACAGTATACTGCAACTACCACTACTTAATATACTGCATCACAATTAAAGTAATAACATAAACACAATACTCTCCCTGGTTGAACTGCTAAATCCAAAGCTGTAGTTAAAACTGTTAACCTCTAGGTGGCGGTATTACAAGGTACTGTGTTTAGCGAACTAACTGCTAACTGTTAATGTTAAATCATTATAATATTCAAATTCATTCATTTTGAACTCGACTTGACTTAGCTGCTTAGCTGCTACTTAGCTTAGCTAACGCGGCACATTCAGTACCAGGTATTTGACAGCACACACACAGCGAGTACAAAAAAATACCTGGAAGTACTTTTGTGTTTATGATTACCTTGTCAAACAATCAGTTCGTCTAAACCACAATATCCGACAATTTTTTCTATTCGCTATAGCAATGGTTCTCAAACTAGGGTCAGCAGAGCAACGGCGGCACTTCATATTCATATGCAGGTACTCTGATTTCTAATACTACAGGACAGTGATGTAGTACGTAAATATTGCTGCTGTACTGTATATTCCGTCTTGCTCTTTGAGTGTGTGCAAATGAGATCTGAAACGGCTAGTTTTGTGCTACTGTATTTTCATGTTAGT